AAAATAACTTGCAACTTTATCGACTTCTAATACCTGTTAAGACACATTGTTAGTGATTGCTACTGGTTGCTAACTTGAAACTACCTTCATTGGAACTTGAGCAGTATTATAGTTGACAGATATTCTAAAGTATATTTTTTGGTGTGACGCAAAAGAGGTATTACCTCATGGGTCAGGATTTAATAGAGTAAACAGGAAAAGAAATGGTGGTATATCATAGACATGTTCAGCCTCAGGGTTGTCAGCATACTGGGAAGTTTGCTAAGCTTTGGGAAAGAAATTTCTCACTAGACAACTTGGATGGTCTTGTCCTAACTTGTTTGAAGCCAGGGATACTGTATTTTGGTGCTAGCTGTCTCCTACAGAGGTTCTCAAATCATGACCCTCAAATAGACCTCCTCTTTTCTGAAATTGTTTTTCTGCTGAGTACCTGCAGCAGTTGGCATGAAGTGCTAGAGAGTTCATGTAACCCTAAGCTACTTTGCTGATGAACACCTTGCCCATGGTGCCTGCTATGAGTGAAATTAATTAGACTTGTGCTATCCTAGTCAATTTCCCTCTCAGCAGGTTGTGTGGTTAAAGCTCCTCAGAGTCTGAGGCTCATCTTCCAGTGCTACTAGCTGCTGGGTTAGACATTTCTTTAAAATTGGAATAAAGGTGATATTATTAGAAAAGAAAAGAAAAACCAAAAAGACTTGGCTACAAAATAAATGAGAAGCAAAAAAGATAGAAAAAAATGGCCAAGACTCAAGTAGTATTTTTTTTTTCCTGGTTGTAATAATGGACGATGTTTCAGTAACAACAATTAAGCCATTAAATAAACTGTTTTTAGGGCGCCTGAGTAGCTCAGTTGGTTAAGCGACTGCCTTCGGCTCAGGTCATGATCCTGGAGTCCCAGGATCGAGTCCCACGTCGGGCTCCCTGCTCAGCAGGGAGTCTACTTCTCCCTCTGACCCTCCCCCTCTCATGTTCTCTCTCCCCCATTCTCTCTCTCAGATAAATAAAATCTTAAAAAAAAAATAAAATTGTTTATTTATTTTTAAAGATTTTACTTATTTATTTGAGAGAGCACGAGAGGGAAGAGGGTCAGAGGGAGAAGCAGACTCCCTGCTGAGCAGGGAGCCCGACCTGGGACTCGATCCTGGGACTCCAGGATCATGACCTGAGCCGAAGGCAGTCGCTTAACCAACTGAGCCACTCAGGCGCCCTAAAAATAAAATTGTTTTTAAACTTGTCTTTTTCTTAGGCTTAGAGGATCCTTAAATTAATTGTTAGATAAATATGAAGTATTTTTTTAAAACCTCAAAATAAACCTAAGTTAGTATTTTATGATCCCTCAGTGTAGAGCTGTACTGCACACCTCCAGAGCCAAATTTTATGCTCTTAACTAATGTGTAAAACTCACATCTTCATTGCCAATCTGCCCAAAAGATAGTTTTAAGTGGGAATTTTGAAATTTCATTCTGGTTCCTACTGGCAGTAATGGTAACTGGGATTTGTAAAACTGCCTAAGGTGCATTTACTCATTACTAGACAAATAGTTCTTTTTTTTTTTAAGATTTTATTTATTTATTAGAGAGAATGAGAGATAGCACGAGAGGGAAGAGGGTCAGAGGGAGAAGCAGACTCCCTGCTGAGCAGGGAGCCCGATGCGGGACTCGATCCCGGGACTCCAGGATCATGACCTGAGCCGAAGGCAGTCGCTTAACCAACTGAGCCACCCAGGCGCCCAAGACAAATAGTTCTTGAGAATGTGTTTTCCATCAAATGGAAGCATACCTCCAGCACAGGTGATCCAAGTATAGCATTTCGTTTCTTGAGTATATCATGGAATCATGAATTGCACAAACCAGGGAGCCCCAAATGCCACTGCATTGCTTAGTTTGCTAGCTTAAGTGAAATAGCATGTATGTGTATAAAACTGTTAACTCCCATCTGTGATTACATGGGATACTTTAGTTGTAAATGTCTGTAGGATAGTGTTTAAAACCAGTGGGGACTCTGGTAATACCAATGGTATTACTCTGTGGGGATACAACTGTATCTTATTGATCCCCTTCCCTTCCATGCTTATTACTTAAGTTGCCAGTGAATGTGTGTCAGTTGAGTGATTTTTTTTTTGTTCATTTATACCTCTTTCTACAAAGGATTTGGGGCGGTTTCCAGAAGTACTTAACATATAAAAGAGTAAACAGTTGAGGGAATTATAGCAAAGTGAATAACAGTGTTAAGAAAATAATAAAGCTGGGACGCCTGGGTGGCTCAGTCGCTTAAGCACCTGACTCTTGATTTCGCCTCAGGTCATCTCAGGGTCGTGGGATCAAGCTGTGCATCGGGCTCCGCCCTCAGCAGGGAGTCTGCTTATCCCTCTCCTTCTGCTCCTCCCCTGCTCTTGCTGTCTCTAAAATAAATGAATAAATAAAAATCAAAAAAAGAAAATAAAGCTATTATAGAATGAGCGTGTGATCCTAGAGTTTCAGGAGATGGCTTACAAGTATGTCTCAGGGCTTCCTAGTAACCAGGCAAAGAGGACGACATGATCAGTTATATTCATATTGTCTGTGCACAGCTGGAAACAGACCAGGTGTTCAGGAACGAAATTTCTCCCTTAGATATTATAAACCAGTGTTTGATGTAATGGAATACGTCCTTACACTATTCTTACAATATATTTTTTATTTTTATTTTTATTTTTTTAAAGATTTTTATTTACTGAGAGAGAGAATGATAGAGAGCATGAGGTGGGGAGGGTCAGAGGGAGAAGCAGACTCCCTGCTGAGCAGGGAGCCCGATGTGGGACTCGATCCCGGGACTCCAGGATCATGACCTG